TATATTCTCATCTTTCATCATATCAGGGAAGTTCTCTTCCAACAAAACTTGGACAATTTTCTCAGTGGTTTTGTTTTTCTCTTCCTGTTCTGGAATTCCAATGACACGTAGGTTATTCCTTTTGATGGTATCCATATGAACCTTAGGCTTTCTTCATTTTGTTTTGATCTTTTTTCTGATTGATCCTTTTCCATAGACGTATCAGCTACATCATAGGCAAATTCTTTCTCCCAATCTGTAGGCTCTCTTTTTATCATTTTGACACAGTCTTTCAATGCACATAAAAATTTAATTTTTAAATGGTCCTATTCATATAGCTTCTCTTCTACCTCCTGTGCATTCTGGGTTTATTTGATAGTCTATTTATGCCATAATTAGGGCTCCTAGATTTGTCCCTATTTTATCTTTGATGGATTTTATAGTTTTGGGTTTTACATTTAAGTCTTTGATCCAACTTGAGTTTATTTTTGTGTATGGGGTGAGGTAAGAATCTTGTTTCATTTTTCTGTGAGTGGATATCCAATTTTGCCAGCACCATTTGTTAAAGAGACTGTCTCTTTCCCATTTGGACGTTTGTCAAAGATCAGCTGTCCATAGATGGATGGGTCTATTTCTGCGTTTTTTATTCTTTTCCTTTGGTCTATCTGTCTGTCATTGTACCAATTCCACACTGTTTTGACTACTGTGGCTGTATAATTAGTAGGTTTTAAGATCTGGGAGTGTGAGACCTCCCACTTTGTTCTTCTTCAGTAGTGCTCCATTTATCTGAGCTCTCTTTCCTTTCCATATGAAGTTAGTAGTTGGTTTTTCCATGTCCTTAAAAAAATTTGTTGGTATCTGGATTGGGATTACATTAAATGTGTAGGTTGCTTTAGGTAGTATTGACATTTTCACAGTATTCAGTCTACCTATCCATGAAGAAAGCAAGTTATTCCATTTATGTAGATCCCTTGTTTTCTCCTATAGTAGTGTTTTATAGTTTTCTTTGTAGAGGTCTTTTGTGTCTCTGGTAAGATTTATTCCTAGATATTTTATCTTTTTAGTGTTGCTGTTGTTAGGTGTTGTTGAGTCGTTTCCAACTCCTAGCGACCCCATGTACAGCAGAATGGAACACCTTCTGATCCCGTGACAGCTCCATGATCCTTGCTATACTTGAGCCCATTGTCACAGCCACTGTGTCAGTCCATCTTGTTGAAGGCCTTCCCCTCTTTCATCGACCCTCCACCTTACCAAGCATGACATCCTTCTCCAAGGAATGGTCCCTTCTGATAACATGACCAAAGTAGGTGAGATGAAGTCTGCTCATTCTCACTTCTAAGGAGCATTTCGGCTGCACTTCTTCCAGGAGAGACCTGTTAGTTCTTTTAGCAGCCCATGGTACTTTCAGCATTCTTTGCCAGCACCACAACTCAAAAGCACCAACTCTTTTTCAGTCTTCCTTATTCTTATCTTTTTAGTTGTTGTTGTTGTTGTTGTTGTTATGTGCCGTCGAGTCGGCCCTGACTCATAGCGACCCCTCCTTGGGTTTCCGAGGCAGTATCACTACGGAAGTAGGATTGCCCAACCTTCCTTCCGAGGAGTGGCTGGTGGGTTTGAACCGCCAGCCGTCTGGTTAGCAGGCAAGTGTCTTAGCCACTATGCTATAGTATTGTTTCCCTTATTTCTTTTATCAGAGGTCTCTTTGTTGGTGTAGAGGAATCCTGCGGATTTTTGTGTGTTGACCTTGTATCCTGCCACTTTGCTGAACCCTCTCTATTAGTTCTAGTAGTTTTTTTTTTTTTTTTTTGCTGAGTTTGGGATTTCTAGGTACGAAATCATATTGTCTGCAAATAGAGATAGCTTTACTTCCTCTTTGCCTATTTGTATGCCTTTTATTTCTCTTTCTTGCGTCATTGCCCTGGCTAAGACTTCCCATACAGTGTTAAATAGGATTGGTGATAGAGAACATCCCTGTCTGATTCCTGTTCATAAGGGGAATACTTTGAGTCTTTCTCCATTATTAATAATGTGGACCATTGGCTTTACATATATGCCTTTTATTATGTTGAGGAATTTCCCTTCTATCCCTATTTTGCTGAGAGTTCTGAACAGGAACAGGTGTTGTATTTTATCTAATGCCTTTTCTGTGTCAATTGACATAATCATATGGTTCTTCTTTTCTTTTTTTTTTTATGTGGTGAATTACATTGATTGCAAAAGCATGCCAGGTATGAATCCTACTTAGTCAGGGTGTATTAGTTTTTTGATATGTTGTTGGATTCCGTTGGCTAGGATTTTGCTAAAGATTTTTGCATCTATGTTCACGAGGGATATTGGTCTGTAGTTTTCCTTTCTAGTGGTGTCTTTCCCTGGTTTTGGTATTAGTGTTATGTTTGCTTCATAAAATGAATTTAGGAAGAGTCCATCTTCTTCTATGTTCTGGAATAGCTTGAGTAACATAGGTGTCAACTCTTCTCTGAATATTTGGTAAAATCCTCCAGTGAAGCCATCAGGGCCAGGACTTTTCTTTGTGGGGAGTTTTTTTTTTTATGACCTGTTCAATTTCTTCATTTGTTATGGGTCTATTGAAGTATTCTGTCTCTGAGTGGGATAGTTTAGGTAGGTCTTGTGATTCTAGAAACTTGTTCTTCTCTTCTAGGTCTCAAATCTGTTGGAGTACTGTTTTTCATAATATTCTGTCAGTATCTTTTTTATTTTAGTTGGTTCTGTTGTGGTGACATCCTTTTTGTTTACAATTTTGTGATTTGGGTCTTCCCTTTTCTTTTGTTAGATATGCCAGTGGTTTATTGATTTTATTATTATGTTATTAATCTTTTGAACAGCCAACCTTTTGGTTAGCAGTCAAATGCCTTAGGCACTACGTTCCAGAGCTCCATATTCCATAATAGAATGATAAATGTCACCAGTATATTTTTACAAAGATTTAAAAATTTCTATTTAATAATGGCTCATACCAAAAAAAAAAAAAAAAGGAAAAAACCAAACTCACTGCCATCGAGTCAATTCCAACTCATAGTGACCCTGTTTGGGTTTCTGAGTCAGTAAATCTTTATGGAAGTAGATTGCCCAGTCTTCTTTCTGTGGAGTGGCTGGTGGGTTTGAACCACCAACCTTCTGGTTAGTGGCCCAAGGCCTTAGGCACTATGCCACCAGAGCTCCTTAATAATAGCTCATATTTTATGTAAATGTAATATATATGAAATATAAAAATGAGATGTATTGACACAGTGGCTGCAACAGTGGCCTCAAACATAGCAATGATTGTGAAGATGGTGCAGAACCAGACAGTGCTTCATTCTGTGCACAGGGTTGCTATGAATTGGAACTGACTCAGTGGCACCTAACAACAGCAATATATGCTTTGATTTTATAGAATTGATTTTATTTCTTATCCAACATTTTCATGATATGTGCAATGAATATAAGACATCTTTTAACTGTGGTCTCAGGAATATCTTTGTTAAGTTTCAGATTATTATAATAAAAAGTAGTTTTTTGGTTATGATTTCATGATACAGTTTACTGATTGTAATGATAAAATGGCTAGACTGCCTCTGACTTTGAAACTTTTTTGTGTTTTTCTTTAGATTTGTGTTAATGGTGTATGTGTAGAATCAAGAATACTTATAAATGAATCAAAAACTTGTTCACAAAAGTGCAATGGAAATGGAGTAAGTAAACACATGATTTATATGTTTCTCCTAATCTATCTTAAACACTTTCATTTCCATTCATTAATTCATTCATCGTTTACTGAGTTCTTATTATCTGCCAGACCCTGTTTGAGCTGAATTGGGTTACTAAATTCAGTAGCCAGAATTAGTTTTAGAGAATATTTGAGTAAAATTAAATTGCTAATGATTTAAACAAACATACTTTTACAGGTGGATATTTTGCAGAGGGTGTTAAATGTTCCAATAAATATATTAACCTGTTCACAATGGAAAGGTAATTATGCTATAGTCATGGAAAACTATTGTCTTTCATTTTTTCTTTCCTAACAAATTAAACAATTTCTTTGGGCCTCTGCTGCTACTGCTAGAAAGAACTGGGCAGAAATAAATAAGGAATTCATTAAAATGCTATGGTGAAGACAAAATGAAAGTTGGTCCACCAAAACTTCAAAGAATCCTTCAAATTGGCTTTTCATGGATGGCCTTTCAGAAAACTGATTTAAAACTGGAATTGCATAATGTAATATTTTGCAGAGTAGAATAATAAAGGAAAGATTGTGGTATGTAATCTGTAAGTCAGAGCAAAGTAACCACTGACATGGAGTCAATTCCAACTCATAGTGACACTATGACATAGGACATAGTACAACTGCACCATAGGTTTTTCAGCACTGTAAATCTTTACAGAAGCAGAATATCTCCTCTTTCTTCCAAAGAGTAGTTGGTGGGTTTGAACTGCCAACTTTGTGGTTAGCACTGAATGTTTTAACCACTATACCACCAGAACTCTTTCAAGTCTTAAGTACTTACATTCTAATAGAAGTATAATGCATCACTAAAAAAAAGAAAAAAAAAAAATCTGCTGAAAACTTTCTTTGAGTCATCACAAATTTAAAAATGCCAAGGGAATAAATAAATAGGTAAGGATGTCTTGATATAAAACCACAGACCCATTGAAATACCTACCTAGTTGCTTTATTGTTTAAGTTTTTAAAAAGGCACTCTGGTGACATAGTGGGTAAGGGGTTTGTCTGCTAACCAGATCAACAGTTCAAACCCACCAGCTGCTTTGCATCTATCTCTGTGTGTGTTTGTGTGAGTATGTATGTGTTTTTTTTCACTAAGATATTAGCTTTAAATTTATACACACACACATACACATTTTCACTAAGATGTTTAACTTTACATAATTACACCAATGTTTTAATATTATATGTGTTGTTTTTGATCTTGTCTTGTTTTGCTCTTTAGTCTTGCTTTCTCTTTAGTTTACCCTCCATTAGCCTCACCTGTTGTCCCCAACTTATGTTAACAATCCACCATGTGTCATTACTCCTTAGTTTATTCTAAGCTCATTTAACCAAGTATAGACATATTTCTTATACACTATTTCTGTGATGGATTCCAAGAGCCTTCAAATTTGACAATCAAATTCATCCCCAACACATAAATATAAATAATAATATTAATATATTATGGGTTGTGTCTGATTGAATGAAAATATTTTAATAAATTGAATAAAAGTTATACTTGGTATTTATACTAATATCATTTACTATATTGCTGATAATAATAAATAATAAGGGAAAACTCTTCCTTATAGGATAATCAATATAGAAGGAATGAATGAATTATATAATTATCAATGGATGCTAAAACTAGTGGGTGAAAATTTTACGAAGACCAGGATATTTACATAATAATCTCAACAATGTCTCCCCATGAATTATTAATTATAAATGGAAACATAGTGAATTTACAGTGGAAAAATTTAGAAGGCAGCACCAAAACCAAATAATCAAAAGTAATAACCCATGTTTGGACATACTGGCATCCTGTACCTCCTGGGAAGGACAGCATCACTTCTGTGATGTGTTCTGTCCTTTGAAAGTATACACATGCACACACACATATAACAGCTGGGCGGGGAGTTGGGGGTGAAGGTTAATTTGCAGGTATAAATACTTCAAGCTACCAACCTGGTATACAGAACCTGGACATGGGAAGAGATGTGCACAATCTGCTCCACGAGTTGGTACCAGCTGGTCCAAGCACACCGTTGGAAGGGCTTCATTTTCATTAGAAATTAAATGTGTTTTTGAAATTGCACACTAAATTTGCAAGTAGATATTTGAAGGTGTTCAATTTTCTTGATACAAATATTGTAATCTTCACTTTATAGTTTCTTTTTAGCTGTTTTTATTTATATAAAGCCTGAAAACCAAGCATTTGATTTGTACATTTACCTTTCCAAATAAATCACACAAGCAAAATTAAACTTGGTGAATCTGCAAAAGTAAGCTTGTTGATTCATCTTTTAGTTTTTGCTTTTTTGAAAAAGTAGTTTTAAATGATCATTTCTTTTTTTTTTTTTTTAAATGATCATAGGTGTGCAATTCCAAAAAGATGTGCCAATGTTTTGAGGGCTTCAATCCTCCAGATTGCCTAGCGCGTGCCAGAGGAACTGTTCAATTGCCTGGGAAAAAGGGCAAGTATCTATCACTTCTTATATCCATTTAGTAAACCTCTCAAGTTGCTTATCTTCACTAAAACAAGTTGAAATTTTTACCATTTAAAAAGAGATGGATGTTTGTACTGAAAAGTTAAACCGGCTTCTCTGAAAGAATGGAAACCGAATATGCTTTTTCATCTTGCTTTTCCAATCTTAACTACTCAAATGTGATTTAAGCTGAGAGTTTTAAAATAGTTTAAATTTTTTACTGACATTATTGAGGTCTGCCTTTAAAATATCGTTCTACCATTTCCCCCTTTTATTATTGAGCATGTGATCTCAGCTCTACACAAATTTACTGAGCATCTACTTACTATGTGACTAGCACTGTTACTACTGTTATAGAAAAAAAAGAAAGAAAATGGAAGATAAGGTTTTACTCTAAAGGAGTTTACAGTTTAAACGAGAAAAATCAATATAAGTTGCTGCTAAAGAGATGATAGAAGGGTGCTAACACCATGTTCTGTTTGTTTACGATGGCTTTCGGTTCTGTCATTCACCCGTTGCGTTGTTGTTGTTGTTAGGTTCTATTGAGTCAGCTCTGACTCATAGCAACCCTATGTACAGCAGAGCAAAACACTGCCTACTTGTGCCATCCTTACAATCTTTGCCATTCTTGAGCCCATTAATGAGGCCACTGAGTCAATCCATCTTGCTGAGGGCCTTCCCCCTTTTCACTGACCTCTACTTTACCCAGCATGATATCCTTCTTCAGGGACTGGTCCCTTCTGATAACATGAACAAAGTATGTGAGACCAACTCTGGCCATTCTCACTTCTAAGTGATATTCTGGCTATACTTCTTCCAAGACATATTTGTTCATCATTCTGGCAGTCCTTGATATTTTCAATATTCTTCACCAACACCACAATTCAAATGCATTAATTCTTCTTATTATTCATTGTCCAGATTCATGCATATGAGGCTATTGAAAAATACCATGTCTTGGGTTAGGCACACCTTAATTTTCAAGGTCAGACCCCCGGAGAGGTAGGCAGGCATGCGGTGCCTCAGGCTTCCTGGAGCAGCTTTATTTTAAGGCTGGCCCCTGAGTAGGTAGGCAGATGCACAGAGCTCAGGCCTTCTGGGGTGGCTTTATGTAAGGCTGGGCCCCTGGGCAGGTAAGGACAGGTGGGGAAGTGAACACAGCGGTTGGAACAACTAAGGGAGATGAACTTTTCTGTCAGTTTGTCATCCTGTGTTGCTATGAGGCTGGAGGCTATGCCACTGGTGTTGCAAAATGCCAGCAGGGTTACCCATGGTGAACAGGTTTCAGTGGAGCTTCCAGACTAAGACAGACTCAGAAGAAGGAAGAGGTCATCCACTTCTCAAAGAATTGGACAGTGAAAACCTTACAAATAGCAGGGAAACATGGTCTGATATATTACTGGAAAACTTTATTAATAGACCTGAAACATTGTCTGACATAGTGCCAGAAGATGAGCCCCTCAGGTCGGAAGGCACTCAAAATATGACTGAGGAAGAGATGACTCCTCAAAGTAGAGATGACCTTAATGATAGGGATGGAAGAAAGTTTTCAGGACCTCCCTTGGCTGATGTGGCACAACTCAAAATGAGTAGAAACAGCTGCAGACATCCATTGATAACCAGAACATGACATGTATGAAGTATGAATCTAGGAAAACTGGAAGTTGTCAAAAATGAAATGGAATGCATAACGATTGATATCCCAGGTACTAATGAGCTGAAATGGACTGTTTTTGTCCATTTTGAATCAGACAACCATATGATCTATTATGCCAGGTATGACAAATTGAAGAGGAATTGTGTGGCATTCATCATCACAAAGAATGCTTCAATATCTGTCCTGAAGTACAATGCTGTCAGTGACAGGATAATATCCATATGTGTACAAGGAAGACCGGTTAATAATACTACTATTATTCAAATATATGCACCAACCACCAAAGCCAAGGATGAAGAAGTTGAAGATTTCTACCAATTTCTGAAATCTGAAATAGATGAAACATGCAATCAAGATGTGTTGATTATCACTGGTGACTGGAATGCAAAAGTTGGAAACAAAGAAGAGTCATGGGTAGTTGGAAAATATGGGCTTGCCGACAGAAATGACACTGGAGATAGCATGATAGAATTTTGTGAGAACAACGACTTATTCATTGCAAATACCTTTTTCAACAACATAAATGAGAGATATACTCATGGACTTCACCTAATGGAATACACAGGAATCTGATTGACTACATTTGTGGCAAGAGGTGGTGGAAAAGTTCAGTATCTTTGGCCAAAACAAGGCCAGGAGCTGATTGTGGAACAGACCATCAACTGCTCATATGCAAGTTCAAATTGAAATTAAAGACAATTAAAATAAGTCCATGAGAGCCAAAATATGACCTTGATTATATCCCTCCCGAATTTAGTGACCATCTATAGAATAGATTTGATGCTTTGAACACCAGTGACCGAAAACCAGGAGAATTGTGGGATGACATCAAAAATATCACCTATGAGGAAAGCAAGAGGTCATTAAAAAGACAAGAAAGGAAGAAAAGACCAAAATGGATGTCAGAAGAGATGCTGAAACTTGCCCTTGAGCAAAGAGTAGCTAAAGCAAATGGAAGAAATGAAAGATAGATGAACTGAATGGAAAATTTCAAAGAACAGCTTGAGAAGACAAAGTCAATTATTATAATGAAATGTGCAGAGACCTGGAGTTAGACAATCAAAATGGAGGAACATGCTTGGCATTTCTCAAGGTGAAAGAACTGAAGAAAAAAAAATAAGCCTTGAATTGCAATATTGAAAGATTCTATGGGCAAAATATTGAATGATGCAGGAAACATCAAAAGAAGATGGCAGGAATACACAGAGTCACTGTACCAAGAAGAATTGGTCAGTGTTCATCCATTTCAGGAGGTGGCATATGATCAAGAATCAATGGTACTGAAGGAAGAAATTGAGGCTGCACTGAAAGAACTGGCAAATAACAAGGCTCCAAAAATTGACAAAATACCCACTGAGATGTTTCAACAAATGCATGTCACACTGCAGGCACACACTTGGCTGTACCAAGAGATTTGGAAGAAAGCTACCTGGCCAACTGACTGGAAGAGATCCATATTTGTACCCATTCCAAAGAAAGGTGATCCCACAGAATGTGGAAATTATTGATTAATATCATTAATGTCACATGCAAGGAAAATCTTACTGAAGATAATTTAAAAATGGTTGCAGCAGTTTACTGACAGCTTCCAAAAATGCAAGCTGGATTCAGAAGAGGATGTGGAATGAGGGATGTCATTGCTGATGTCCGATGGATCTTAGCTGAAAGCAAAGAATACCAGAAAGATGTTTACTTATGTTTTATCGACCATGCAAAAGCATTTGATTGTGTGAATCATAATGAGTTATGGATAATATTGAGAAGAATGGGAATTCCAGAACACTTGCTTGTGCTCATCAGGACCCTGTACATAGATCAGGAGGCTGTCTTTCAAACAGAACAAAGGATACTGCATGGTTTAAAATCAGGAAGGGAGTGTGTCAGGGTTGTATATTTCCCCATACTTATTCAATCTGTATGCTGAGCAAATAACCTGAGAATCTGGATTATATGAAGAAGAACATGGCATAAGGATTGGAGGAAGATTCACTGAGAACCTGCAATACACAGATGACACAGCTTTACCTCCTGAAAGTGAGCATGACTTGAGGCAATTAATAATGAGGATTAAAGACTACAGTCTGCAGTATGGATTACACTTCAATATAAAGAAAACAAAAATCCTCACAACTGGTCCAATAAACAGCTTCGTGGTGGATGGAGAAAAGTTTGAGGTTGTCAAGGACTTCATATTACTTGGTTCTACAATCAACACCAATGGACACAGCAGTCAAGCCATCAGACGATGTATTGCACTAGGCAAATCTGCTGAAAAAGACCTTTCAAGTGCTGAAGAGCAAAGATGTTTCCTTGAAGGCTAAGGTATGCCTAACCCAAGCCATGGTATTTTCTATTGCCTCTTATGCATGTGAGAGCTGGACAATGAATAAGGAAGATTGAAGAAGAGTTGATGCTTTTGAGTTGTAGTGTTGGAGTAGAATGCTTAGAGTACCATGGTCTGCTAAAAGGACTAACAGATCTGTGCTGAAAGAAGTGCAGCTGGAATGCTCTTTGGAAGTGAGGATAGCCAGACTTTGTCTCGCCTACTTTGATCATGTTGTCAGAAGGAACCATTCCCTGGAGAAGGATATCATGCTTGGTAAAGTGGAAGATCAATGAGGAAGGGGAAGGCCCTCAATGAAAAGAATTGACAACACTGGGCTCAGGTATAGCAAGGGTCGTGAGGCTGGCACAGGACTGGCCAATGTTTCGTTCTGCTGTGCACAGGGTTGCTGAGTTGGAGATGACTCGCTGGCACCTAACAACAGCAACAGTAAAGTCTTCAAAGTGATATCTTTGCTCTTTAACATTTTCAAGAGATCTTTTCCAGCAGATTTTCCCAGTGGAATACAATGTCTGATTTCTTGACAGCTGCTTTCATGGACATTGATTGTGGATCCAAATAAAATGAAATCCCTGACAACTTCAATCTTTTCTCCATTTATTTTAATGTTGTGTTTTGGTCCTGTTGTGAGGGTTTTTCTCTTTTTTTAATTATGAAGTATAATCTATACTGATGGTGGTATTGTTCAATCTCCATTAGTAAGTCTTTGAAGTCATCTTCCCTTTCAGCAAGCAAGGTTGTATCATCTGTATATCTTAGGTTGTTAATGAGTCTTCCTCTAAACTTGGTGATGTGCTCTTCATCTAGTCCAGCTTCTCAAATAAATTGCTCAGCATACAGACTGAATAAGTGTAGTGAAAGGATACAATCCCGATGCACACCTTTCCTGATTTTAAACAATGCAGCATCCTCTTGTTATATTTGAACGACTGCTTCTTGGTCTGTGTACAGGTTCTTCATAAGCACAATCAAGTGTTCTGAATTCTCATTCTTCACAATGTTAATTTGGTATGATCCACACAGTTGAATGCCTTTTCATAGTCAATAAAACACAGGTAAACATCGTTCTGGTATTCTTTGCTTTCAACCAAGATCCATCTGACATCAGCAATGATATCCCTCATTCCACACCCTCTTCTGAATCTGGCTTTACTTTCTGGCAGTCCCCTGTCAATGTAATGCTGCACCATTTTACAATTATCTTTAGCAAAATTTTACTGGTCTGTGATATTAATAGTATGGTTTGATAAATTCCACATTCTGTTGGATCACCTTTCTTTGGAATGGGCACAAGTATCAATCTCTTCCAGTCAGTTGGCCAAGAACCTTTCTTTCCAATTTCTTGACATAAATGAGTGAGTACCTCCAGTGCTGCACCCATTTGTTGAAACATCCTAATGGGTATTCTGTCAGTTCCTGGACCTTGCCTTTCACTAGTTTCTTTAGTGCAGCTTGCACTTCTTCCTTCAATACTATAGATTCTTGATCGTATGCTACCTCCTGAAATAGGTGAATGTCAACCAATTCTTTTTGGTGCACTGTCTTTGTATATTCATTCCATCTTCTTCTGATACTTCCTGCATAGCTTAATATTTTGTCCATAGACTCTTTCAATAGTGCAACTCAAGGCTTGAATATTTCCTTCAGTTGTTTCAGCTTGAGAAATACTGAGCATGTTCTTCTCTTTTGGTTTCGTAATTCTAGGTCTTTGCACATTTCGTTATAATACTATATATTGTCTTCTCAAGCACCATTTGAAAAATCTTGTGTAGCTCTTTTATTTCATCATTTCTTCCATTCACTTTAGCTACTCTCTGATCAAAAATAACTTTCAGAATCTCTTCTGATATCCCTTTTTGTCTTTTCTTCTTTTCCTGTTTCTTTTTTTTTTAAATGACCTTTTGCTTTCTTCATGTATGATGTCCTTGATGTCATCCCCCACCTTGTCAGGTCTTTGGTCATAGGTGTTTTCAGTGTGTCAAACATATGGGTTTCTGAGGCAGTATCACTATGGAAGTAGATTTCCCAGTATTCCTTCTGAGGTGTAGTTGGTGCGTTTGAACCACCAGCCTTCTGGTTAGCAGTCAATTGCCTTAGGCACTATGCCACCAGAGCTCCGTCTCTAAATTCAGGTGAGATATAATCAAGGTTGTACTTTGGCTCTTGTGGACCTGGTCTATGAGATTCCTAATATCAAAAAGCCAACAACTCAATAAAGAAAAACAGGGTATACACAAATACAGTGAAATCCTATACTTGCTTAGTTACCTTCAGCTTCAATTTAAGCTTGCATATGAGCAATTGATGGTGTGTTCCACGGTCAGTTCCTGGCCTTATTCTGATTGATGTTATTGAGCTTGTTCAATTCAGTGATTCAGAGCTTCATTGGAAATCCATGAATTTCAATTCATTGGTTTAAATCTAATTCAATGATTTAGCAAAGATTTATTGAACTATTAATATATGTCAAGTGCTGATCTAGGCACTGGGAATGTCAAGTTGACCCCAACAAATAGGGATCCCCTGTGTGTCAGAGTAGAACTGTGCTCTTTAGGTACTTCAGTAGCTCATTGTTTGCAAGTAGATCACCAGACATTTGTTCTGAGGCAGTTCCAGGGAGACTCAACCTCCAACCTTTTGGTTAGTAGCCAAGCACATTAACAGTTTGCCCCCATTCAAATGCAGTGAGTCAAACAATGTCCCTCTCCTTATGGAGCTTAGAGAACATGTTTTAGATCTGTACACCCAATGTTATAAGTGGCATATTTAGGGTTAGGAATCAAGTTCCCTAATTTCTATGCCAAACCCAAAGGCACTGCCATTGAGTTGATTATGACTCATAGAGACCCTATAGGACAGAATAGAAAAGCCCCATAGGATTTCCAAGGAAGCAGACTGCCACATATTTCTCTTGCAGAATGGCTTGTGAGTTCAAACTGCTGACCTTTTGGTTGGCACCCAAGTGCTTTAATCAGTGTACCACTTGGGCTCCTTGATTTTTATGCTAGTGCCCTTTTAAATGCACTGCAATAGCTCCATATGTAAAAATAGATCTCTAATATAAAAAAGCCAACAAATCAATAAAGGAAAAACAGTGTATACACAAATACAGTGAAATTCTATAATACTGTCCCCTCTCACAGTGCAAATTTAGATAACCTTGCAATTGCATGATTCCACACTACATATCATTGAATTTTTTGAACTCCATTTATAGCATTATAGTTGGGTTTTCCTGTAGGTGTTGTATAATATATAGAACTTTGGGCAAGTTGCATGACCTTAATGTCACTTAGTTTCCATACTTTTAGAATGTGAGATTAGAAACATAGTCCCATGTTTTAGGATTCTATAATTATTTCCCCACATTTTTTTTCACTTTTATTGTGGTGAAAACTTACACAAGAAGATATATGCCAACATAACATCTTCTCCATTTATAGCTCAAGGATATTGATGACATTTTTCATGTCGTGCCACCATTATCGCTATTCTTTTCCAAAATATTCTATTACCATTAGCATACGAGCTTTGGTAGCATAGTGCCTAAGGCACTTGACTGCTAACCAGAAGGCTGGTGGTTCAAACCCACCAGCCACTCTTCGGAAGGAAGGTTGGGCAGTCTACTTCCATAGTGATACTGCCTCGGAAACCCAAGGAGGGGTCGCTGTGAGTCGGGTCCGACTCTACGGCACATAACAGCAACAACCATTAGCATAAACTCAATGCCCCACAAACCAAAGCTTCACCTTTCCCCCTCCCTCTTACCCTGGTAACCACCAATAATCTTTGGTTTATATGTGTGTGTGTGTGTGTACACACATATGTATATATTTTTCAACCTATCTAGAAATTTAGCCTCTCTTCCCCTCCCCTCCCGTCCCTGGTAACCAACAAAAAAAGTTTCCTTCTATGTATAAACCTTTCCTTGACTTTTCACAATAGTGGACTAGTAAAATATTTGTCAAAAATATGGAATGCTTCATAAATATGTGTGTCATCCTTGCACAGAGGCCATGCTAATTGTGTCTGTATCATTCCAATTTTAGGATACATGCTGCTAAAGTGAGCATTATTTTCCCACACTTCTTGAATAACAACAAAAATAAAGTCCATTGTAATTATTTTTCTTTAACTTGAAAGTAAAAGTAGAAAGCTTATTATTTTTACTGTATTTTTATTTTTAGGTTTAATCATGGAAAGAATTTTTCGGAGGACTGAAAAGAACCAGTGGCTTATTGGTGTCTACATTTCTTTACCCATTCTCATCATAGCAACTGTAATAGCTGTGAAATGGAAGAGTTTGAAACACTGGTTCACCAAGGAAGAGGAATCACAAAGTATTGAGTAAAATGGACTTTGTGTTCTGAAGTTAACTTTAGTTCCATTTTGAATGTTCTCATATGTAAGGCAATATCACTTGTAGCTACCAAATTTACATTTCAGAGATTTTTAGTACTACATCAGTATAATATTTAATTGTGTGAGATAGTTGAAAATATCCCCATTTTAAAGATGCAAAATTTTGGAGTGTAGTTTAAATCACTTGCCAAAGTCACTGCCCTGATAATTGAGAGAGGAAGAACTCAAATGCACTCCATATCTATTTCAAATACAGTACTCTCTGTTTCTGAACATATGATCTGTTAGTCCTCTACAGAAAAAGCACTAAAAATACTTATTAAAAATGCAGATTTCTGGGTTTGACTAAAGATCTATGAAATGTTTCTATTTAAATTGCATTATGTAAGATGTAATTTTTAAAAATATTCTTTGGGTAACATTTTAGAAGGAAAAGTTATAATTTATAACATTTTAATTTAATTTTATTCTTAAAAAAAATAAAAAAATTGCCGTGTTCTCTCCCCTCGCTTCTCACCCTTGGTCAGCAACAAAGAGTTTCCTTCCATATATAAACTTTTCCTTACTTTTTACAATAATGAACTAATAGAATATTTGTCCTTCTGTGATTGACTTATTTCACTCAGCATAATAGAGCTCTGGTGGCATAGTGCCTAAGGCACTTGACTGCTAACCAGAAGGCTGGTGGTTCAAAACCGCCAGCCACTCATCGGAAGGAAGATGGGGCAATCTACTTCTGTGGTGATACTGCCTTGGAAACCCAAGGAGGGGTCACTATGAGTCGGGTCTGACTTGACGGCACATAACAACAATAACAACAATGTCCGCCAAGTTCATCTACATTATGTGGTATTTGGCAGATTCTGCATTATTCTTTAGTGTTTCATAGTATTCCTTTGTGTGTATATATCACAGTTTGATTATCCATTCTTCTGTTGATGGGCACCTAGGTTGTTTCCATCCTTTTGCTATTGTTAATAGTGCTGCAATGAACATGGGTGTGCATATATCTGTTCTTGTCCTGACTCTCACTTCTTTAGGATGTATACCTAGTAATGGGATTGCTGGATAAAATGATATGTCTAATTTCAACTTTTTAAGGAATTGCCATACTGCTTTCCACAGTGGTTGTATCATTTGACAGGCCCACCAACAGTCCCGATCTCTCCACATCCTCACCAGCATTTATTATTTTCTGTCTTTCTGAACTTTTCTATTGGTGCTGGGGTGAGATGGTATCTCATTGTTTTGATTTGCATTTCTCTAATGACTAGTGATCATGAACATATCTTCATGTGTTTGTTGGCTGCCTGAATGGCCTCTTCGGTGAGGTGTCTATTCATGCTTCTGCCCATTTTTTAATTGGATTGTCTTTTTTTTTTTTTTTTTTTGAGGTGTTGGAATTTTCTATAAATTTTAGAGATAAGTCCCTTGTCAGATAATGTTGTTGCCAAATACTTTTTCCCAATTTGTAAGTTCTCTTTTGACTCTTTTGAAGTACATAAAAATCTACTTTTTAGAAGATCCCATGCATCTAGTTTATCTTCTGCTGTTTGTGCATTTTGGGTTATGCTTGATAGTCTATTTATGACATATATCAGGGCCCCTAATTTTAGCCCCCTTTTTTTTTTCCTTGAGTAACTCTATACTTTTAGGTTTCACATTTAAGTCTTTCATCCATCTGGAGTTAGTTTTTATGTATGGTGTGAGGTACAGATCTTGTTTCATTTTTCTGCAAATGGATATCCAGTTTTGCCAGCACCATTTGTTAAAGAGACCATCTCTTCCCCATTTAATGGATTTCAGCCCTTTGTCAAAAATCAGCTGGCCATATGTCGATGGATCCATTTCTGGGTTCTCAATTCTGTTCCACTGGTCTGTCTGCCAATAACTGACAGTTGGTACAATGACTGGTCTTGTCATTGTACCAATACCAGGCTGTTTTGAGTACCGTGGCTGTATAGTAGGTTTTGAGATCTGGGAGTGTGATCTACTTTGTTCTTCTTCAATAGTGCTTTGGTTATCTGAGGTCTCTTTCCTTTCCATACAAAATTAGTGATTGGTTTTTCCATATCCTTAAAGAATGTTGATGGGATCTGGATTGGGGTTGCATTTAATGTATTGATTGCTTTGGATAGTATTGACATACAGTGTTCAATCTTCTTATTCATGAACATGGTATGTTCTTCCATTTATGTAGATCTCTTACGGTTTTTTGAAGTAGTCTTTTATGGTTTTCTTTGTACAGGTCTTTTGTGTTCCCAGTAAGATTTATCCTGAAATATTTTATTGTTTTGGTAGCTATTGTAAATGGTATTGATTTTCCTATTTCCTTTTCAGTAATCTCTTTGCTGGTGTAGAGGAATCCAACTGATTTTTGTGTGTTGGTTTGGTATCCCACCACTATGCTTAATCTCTCAATTAGTTCCAGTCCTTTTTTTTTTTTTTTTT